GAAAAAAAATCCTTATTTATTTAGCTGCAGCTGTGTTGCACACACAGTGACATTGTGCGGTGTGGCGTTGCACGGTGTGGCGTTGCACGGTGTGGCGTTGCACGGTGTGGCGAGGGCCCTTTGACACCGCTTGCACATTACATTTTTCATTTCATTTTCAAATTATCTGCTTGAAATGGAGTGGGAAAAGAAAACACTTCTGACAACCAGTGTTTGGAGTAATGTGTTACAAAGGTAATGTAATTATTGTAATGCAGGGGTGTCCAAACTTTTTAGTGAGAGGTCCGATTTAGTTAATCAGACTTGACCTGGGGCTGACGACCTTAATTCAAATCCTGGATTTGAGCTGGATTGACTGGATTCTGGAATTTAAAATGGGTTATGATACGTCCTTCTTGATTAATATTTGGACAATATTTTGTGACAGCTTCCTATCTAACAGAGCTTGAAAGTTCTCCAAGGAGATAGATGTTATAGTTGTTATGTTTCAGTGTGAGACTGACAGAAGGGTTGGCGCCATGATGCATTGGCTGTATGGGACTGTTGTGGTGAAGTCCAAACACAAAACTCTTGATTTAACTTTGGATAACCACCAAAAGGACAAAAATACAGGTGAAAGCTTTCAAAACGAGTGGCTGGGCATTCTCTTATAGAGATAGGATGAGGACTTCAGTCAACAGGGAGCTCAGAGTAGGACTGCTCCTCCTATGCTTAGTTCCATGAAGCCTGAATGAAGAGAGCAGCACAGCAGGACTAAATGCAGTGGATCTGTTTAGTTTGTAAAACGCTTACATTTGTTACACTATACTCCCACTTGACAATGGCTGACATTTTGTGCTGCTCCTGCACAGCCCTGACAGTGTGAAGTGTGGGAAGTGAGAAGAGAACTATGGATCTTGAAATTCTAACTGCCAAGAATCTAATAATTTATTAACTTTTAGCGCTCAAACTTAATGCTTTTAACAGCAACATTTTGCCCAACCAATTTACTTAACTCCCTCTCACTTTTGCTGTTTTGGTTTCATTCAATCCAGTTTAAAATAAATATTGCTTTTGGATTGTAGGTGTTTTTTAGAGAAGGGTAGAATGCCTACTGCTTGGATTAGGATTGGCATTCCTAATCCGTATGTGTATCCTTGGCATCCTTCACCTCCATCTTATTTAAATTCATTCATACTTTACACACACTGTCTTGATTTACACCCAACTTGCAACTGTTGCTTAAGAACGCTTTCTGTCCGATAAGGAGGACTGCAAGCCTATGTGTGAAGAGTTGATACGTGTGACCAAGCTAGCATCTATTACACTGTTGGTGTTCACATGGTGGGAGATGTTATTAGGGACAGCCTCACGCTCTCCTCAGAGAGAATGGAAGTGTGATTATGAAGTCATCAGCCGTGAACCACTGTGGCAGGGGAGAAGCACCCCTCCTCATGGGTCCTCAGGGTGCCATTGATTGGTGACCATGTGTTTGTGCCTGATAGACTGTGAAATGGTGTGTTGCTGCACGGCTGTGTCACACCTGCGTCCCACCAAGGTGATTGATTGGTTTGGTCATGTGGAATGTTCCCATCTGGTCCACAGTAATGCATTTTTTTCTTCATTTCTGAATAACAAGCACTGGCAGGAGAATAGTTAGGTTTGGAAAAAGGCAAAGGCCAAGTGAAAACAGTTTTTCGTTTGCCACCTATTTTTTCCTCAGTAAAAATATATTAGACCGCTCGTTTATTCCTGATAGAGCGATTTCAATCAGAGGGTCATTGAACTCTACAGCAATTATAATTTCCCCCCTCGCTTAAACACAATATGCATGCTATGTATTTATACTGTCCATGGATAAGGTATATATACTTTATTGGAAAGAATAGCTGTGACTCCTTGGAAGACGTTTTTTTTCTTATGTAATGTTTAGTTGTTCCCTAGTTGATTTTTTTTAATACTGGTTTCTTTCCTTTAATTGATCTATTCATTTCACTTAAATGGCTAATTACACATCAGCCTCGATGAGATGAGGCATTTATCATCATACTATGTAATAATCAGTGACATTTCAACAAAGAAATAAATAAATATGCAAATAAGAACTCATTAACATTTGCTCTTGCTGTTTTGAATAATTTCCCTTGCAACCAGGTTATGTAGACATGTCAATTAGCCAACATCTCTTTATGCTATTTGGATTCGATGGGTTACAGGCTGCACAATATTAAATAAATAATTAGAATGAATATAATAAATAAATTAGAGCGATATTTGATTTCAATAACAATATTATTGCAATCTTTTTGTCTTTCACCTAAAATTGCAATCTGCATTGAAACGCAAGAGAGAAATAACAAAAAGTAAGCACAACATTCATGAAATTCAAATGCATATATTAATATACTTTTTTGTTTGTTTGTTGGTCTTGTTGAATGTTGACGTGTCTGTCTGTTTTGTTGTCTTTTAATAAAGGAAAAAAATAAGGAACATTTCGATATGGCTATCGCCGGACCAATATAGCAATAACGATATTGGTGAGTTGAAGAAGATGACAAAGTCTGGGATCGCGTCTTTAATTCAGACAGAAGACATGTTTTATTGTCGATGGTAGAGACAGCACGAACACAGATACAACAGAATGCAAGTGTATTATACAGAGCGGAGGCATGGAGACCTCCAATCAGCAGCTTCCACGGTGCCAGCAGAGATAGTCAAAACATGAAGTGGAAAAGTACAGGCTTCTGCACATTGGTAGAATGATGAGTTTAACTATAACAAAAGTTGCTTAAAAGTGTTATGAAATCTCACAGCGTGCGATATTCATCGCTATTTTTTTGATATATTGTGCAGCCCTAGTTGTTATGATACTAAAATTACAATTAAACTCTATTGTTAATACCAGTTTTGATTTATAATACTTTTGACAACCTTATTAATATTATTATACGTATAATATCACGTTTCATGATTGAAAAAGCATAACCTGTACTTAGATGCTTTCAGATGTTTGTTGTAGGGCAAAACAAATGGCAAATGGAAAAAGGCCTGAGGAATGTTTTCAGAGGAACACACACTAATTAGCTGTTTTTGTGGCAAGGGTTTTGAATTGATCCCTGGGGAGGCTAATGTTCCTCACATCAAAATGAGCACCTAGATACAGTGCTACTACAGTGACACTACCAGAGGTTGCAAGTAAATAAAGGTATATTAAAGGAGCATTATGCAACTTTTTATGTGATCTTTGTTGTGGTTGCATATTTTACCTGGTAGTGACCCAGCAGCTGTATGAGTGGGCAGCATGGTGCCTTATACTGTCCATCCCATCGGTCTGTAGGATCAATTGTTTTGAAGGTTTTCCCTTACCAGAAAACCCACAAAGCAATTGAACCTGGGGCACTTTAGACACAACCGGGATCAAAAGTAAAGAAACCATGCTGAACACTCTTACAGCCACTGGGTTACCAAGTCAAATATGTAGAAAATGCAGAAATGTAGAAATGGTTCCCTGCCACTAGGACCTCTGTCAGGCGCAGTGTTGCTATAGTACAAAGCCCGGGGCCCGGGTGGTCAGGAGAGGTGGTGGATTTATCTATTGTTAGTGGTAGAGGAAACTGGACAGCGTGGAGGAAACCCACTTAGAGACTGGGAAGACATGCAAACGCTACTCGGCCACTGTACTTCATTGTATCTTTTAATTTTTCTAACAACTTCCAAATCCTACTTTTCAATTTTAAACCCAAATATCTGTACTTTCTACTCCTTGCATTTTATAATGACTTTTTACTTTGCAGATAGCAACGCCGCATTAAAAAAACGTTTTGGAACCCATTGGATTGGATTATATATGTTATGGAGGCAGGAATATAATATAAACTGTTCTAAAATATACACGCCGTTTACTGTTTGCTTTCAGGTTTATCTCAATTTTTACCATCTAAGGCTGGGAATCTGCAGTTAGCCCCAGGGTTGATGATGGGATGACTACATCATTTTGTCACCACTAAATAATTGCTAGTGCATAAATTGCATCTACATTATTTGTGATGTGTTTCTTGCGTTAATTCAATGCCAGGATACATAAAGGCTCTCTGCAGTCAAATGGATCACATTAATTGTTGAGCATCGGGGCACTGAGTGCTATGCTAATGAGCAGCTTGCAGAATATTTTCACCAGTGATGGATTATTCTCCCTGTAAAGAAAATACTGCAGGACAATACTGCATATGTAAATGGACTTTATTGAGGTAATGTGTGATCAGGTTTGTGATGATTGTGCAGACAAACTTTAAACACATAAGCAATATTCTTGTTTTTATTATTTACTCTGATTAATGTCGTGGTCCCTGATCTTTTATGAAGTTACTAACTCTGAACAAGAGTTAGCAACTTTCATCTCTATTTTGGAACATTATTACCTATTTTCTTAGGTGACCTATTTTCTTGCCAACAGTATTTGTGCATAAGACACAAGATTGTGTGACTGCTTGTATGAAAAGAGAATATTTTATCCAGCTAATTTAGGTTCCTGGTTTTGGAACCGGCCAAGCCAGCAGTATGTTGTCCTTGATGTATGACTTTGTTCTACTTTACCTCAACATCATAATATGCATTCTATGAACATTTTACAGTCACATAGGTCTGGCTAAAAAATGTAATATTATGTAGCTAAATCTAAAGCTCCCTCACCATCGATCTGCAAGCTTAGATTGATGAAATTGTACTGTCCTTTTGTCCGTTTGATGTTGTTGTATCTGATCAGTTACAATATTCAACAATACATTTGATGACCTTCACATGTATTTACGGTGTACAAGGTTGTATTCAAACAAATACTGCTCTGTGGTTTATACATTATTCATGTCAGACACATGCTTTGCCTAAATATTTAACCCTACACTTGGCCAGCCTTTCATCTGAGGCAATTAAACGCATCATTTTCATACCAAATCATTTTTAAAAGGAAATAAGATAGATGAAAATTAAAATGTGCCGTCTGAGGCTACATTTCATCATCCCCTATGTTAGAGGATGTTGGTGGTAACCGACAAGTTAATCCTATTTTCCTTTTGCAAGAGCGATGGCTCAGAAGCGTATCATATTATTGTTGGAAGACAAGCGGCTTTGCCAGTTAAACCATCTTTCCAGATTTGCACACAGCTCCTTAGTCTCGGGAGGCGTGTGCTCCGTCTCTCGCAGCAGTGCTGGGATAAGCACAAGTGAATTCTCTCCGATATCTTCACCTGCGCTCCAAAAGCATCATTCAGATCAGTCATTGTAACAAAACATCCACGCTCTGCAACTTTTTAACTCACAACAAACATATTTACCTTGTCCCGAGAGGCAACACAATTTAGTCCCGCTGCTGATGTTTGAGCATGGAATATTTGGAAGTGTGACAAAAATAATGCATGGTCCTGTTAAAGTTATTCATCACTTTCTGTCAAAAGCTCTCGCGTTTGTATGTTTGTTTTCGAGTTAAAGTGCTGAGCTGGGATATTGTGATTGGTTTGATTCATGTGTGTTGTGGACTCAGGGTTTCTGTGCTCCCTGAAGTTGACACTAAATTGTTGACACTCAAAAGTTTTTAAAACATCGGCATCAAACAGTGTGTTGAACGAGGAGGTCAGTAATAAGTAGCCCTCATTTTAGCGTATTTTCTTTTCTTTCAGGTAAATCAGAGAGGGGATCATTTATCGGTTTTGGGAGGAATCCTGGAGCTGCTGGCTGCCAGGTAAGCTCAGTGCTGTGTTACCCTAAAACAGATTGTATAACTATTCATTTAAAATATTGGTTATACTTGAAATTTATTTACAAAAATCACAAGAATCAATGTCATGTTCAAAATAGCAATTCTGACATTTAAGGCCGACTTGTATAAGACAAAAACATAATTTAGGTCACCAGTTATCACAAAATCAAAGCGAGTTTATATTTCATGGGCTTTCGTGTCCTGGTTACTTTCATGGCCTACATTTAAGGCAGTAGTTGAATGACTGTGTATATTTTAGTGAGACATTCATGTGATTAAACACATGTTGCACAGAGTGTGTATTGGGCTTTCATGTATTTTATCTGTCGTTCTGACTTGCATGCCACAGTGTACTGTGGGATTTAAATGGGAACATGAGGCAGCCCCACGGCAGGCCTCAGGTGAACGGCACACGACTTCTGCTCTGCCATGCCTGCAACCGATTAGTGTAATTATCCCAAGCGCTTAATTGGCCTCTTAACCTCGTTGTGGGGTTGTGGAGGTCAAATGTGAATGGCGATTCTGAACACTGAAATATCAAGACACATCAACAGTTGAAGCTTTTCTTCTCACAATTGATATTTGATTGTGGTAAATTTATTGCAGTTAATACATTAAGTGATACTTTTTGGTTTCATCAATACATCTTGTTTGTTCCATCAGCAGTCCTGTTTAAGCACCATTTTGCTAAAACAAGATGCTGTCTTTATCTTATCAGAAAACATTCTATCTTTGGCATACTGAGAGCAGGCTGAGTGAGGGTGGTCCTCTTTTTCGATGAAAAGCCTTGTCTTATGAATAGTATAGAAAAACCTAAGTGTTTTTAGAGTTTGAAACTATATGGATTCTATTATGTTTTCCTGGTTTAAATGTCATATACTCCAGGTTTTAGTAAAAGCTGAAATATGCTGGCATATGATGAAATGAAGAACAGTTAAGGTCTATATACCTGTTTATCAGACACCTAATAACCACAGTTTTGGCTATTTGTAAAAATAAGTCAGGTCTAATTGTGTGAAACATGCAAATTTAAATAGATTATTGGTTAATTAAGATGTAGCGCTGTATCTCGTCAGCAGATACAGCCAAAGCACTGGGGCAAACGAGGATGATGGAGAGAGCACACAAACACATATTGCTCATCTGTGCTGCGGTGCTATTTTTAGGAACAAATCTAATAGCAACAAATCAACAAAAATGCATATTATTAATGTAGATAACCAAACAAGGACTATGAATAAAATACAGGGTGAAGAGCAACTTTCAGCAAGTATCTATATTGAGCGGTCGAAAGAAGTTCAGTCGATAATGTTAAGCTAGCCTTGAATAGGACACAGATAATGCACTAATGCAGGGGTGTCCAAACATTTTAGTAAGAGGGCCACTTTAGTTCACCAAACTAGTCTCGGGGGGCGGCATTACAGACTGAAAAACTGTCTTGACTGGCATCGGGCTTTTCTGAGCTTTAAAATGATCTATAACAAAGTTTTAATTTGGCTGAATAACAAATGTTCACCATCTCACCAGCTACACTAGAATCATTAACGGAAGTTTGTGACACAATCAAAATCCATGTCAGTACAGTATGTACAAATAAAGTCAACAGCTGAATTCCAGACGTACGGCCTTTAAAACGAGTTGCGACATGTCTATATTGGCTGAGCTGAAGTTGGATGGATGACACCGTGAACTTATGAGCTCAAAGACTACTTTGGGTTAGCAAGGCAGAGGGCCACGTAAAACGACACTAAGGGGCCGCAATCTGCCCCTGGGTCTGAGTTTGGACATGCTGGCACTTATGGATAGCACTTAAATCTTCACTAGATTATTATTTCTTAACATTGTGTTATAATGTCTGTGCGCATGTACAGGTCTGTGGTGGCGTACATGTTTGCAGGCAAGACAGTTCACACAAGCCCATGTGTGTTCCGCTTTCTCTACACTGTAGGTCCATAGTTTAAAAAACGTTCTGATAATCCTATTCTTTGGCTCTTGCCCCTCATAAGATAGGGCCCCTTAGCTGCCCTGTAAGCTGCACTGTAAACTGATCTGCATTGTGCTTTTTATTTCATATTTTATTAATCGTACATTAAATTGTTTCAGTCATCGCTGAGATTAGATGTTGGCTCTGGTTCAGTGGCAGCTTCTGGAAAATCGGCCGCTCCGTTCTACTCCTTCAGTGGACACAATCCCAGAAGACGCTCTTTACAAGATGTTCCTCCAGTCGGTAAGAACTGTACACTTGCCTTGATGAAGACCAGAGAGTGGTCGAAACACTCCACAATAAATGATTTTTGAGTCAAGTTAGAGTGGACCTTTTCAATCCTCGAAGAGCACCTGCCTTCTCACGTTTACCCCGTATTATACTTATTAGATCTACGTATGCAGTCACTCCTCTTGTGTTAGTGCATATACTTCTTTGAAAAAGAACAACTCCAACTAATACACAGAATACCCAGATTTTAAGAATGTATTTTTTAGAAGTGTAAGTAAACATTCTTATAATCACCTCAAAGGGACCTACATCTGTGCCTGCATTTATGGTTACGCAGTTAAGTCATGAGATTATTACACCAGATGCCTCTCCAGGTGCCCCCATTTCCACCTATCCAGGCTTGAGATGGATTCTTTTGAATTAAATATCAAATAATTTAACTTTAAAACATGAAAGTCCAAAGTCAATATTTTCATATTGTGTTTTAGGGAAACAATAATACATCAAATTTCATAGTTTTATTTAAAATTAATTGACGGAAAAGGCGTTATATTTGAGAGACTGTTCCTTCCTGATCCAATTGAAACCCTGGACCAAATGGTGTGTTGACCTGGGGACCTGGAACCGTGTCGGCTTTTCACCACGTGGAAGACACATGTCAAAGTAAACTCTTCCAACTTAATAAGATGAGGGAGGCCTGTAATTTTCATCATTGGTATACCTCAACTATGAGAGACAGAATGAGGAAAAAAGGGGGAGAACTTGCAAACAATTGCTGGCTGACTAAATACTATTTTGCCCCACTGTAATAGGTTTTGCAAACTAACAAACTACAGACAAACCCCCTGGCGGAGAAAATTATGGATTGTAAATTACTTAATTTTACTGTTGAGAATTAAAAACAGAGGTATAGGAACAATAATATTGGAAATGATTATATGTGTCCCCACTAAACATCCGACGTCCACTCAACCTCCAGATCACGTCAATATCGCGTCGGTCGGTCGTGACCTTTTATTTACGTCCAAACGACGTCTGTGCAAGGTGCGCATTTGGACGTAAAACAATGACCTCCCATATACGTGGATATGACGTTCAATCCCGACCTCCCCTAGACGTCGAAAACAGGTCATCGGCCGACCGACGCAGTACGTCTTGATCTAGCAATACAATATATAGGCTGTGAAGCAATATAAGTGAACCTGACGGTAGTGTAGTGGTTAAGCAAACGTGTGCAATCTTGGTTACGTGGGTTCGAGCCCATGTGTGTGTATTATTATCTTTATATATTTGTTTTGATTTTTAACGAACAATTTTTTCCTGTTTGGTTAAAGACTAATAAACACTCAACATAGGATTACGTAGTGGCTAATAATAAAACTTGTGAATGTATGCATTTGTTGTGCTAACAATCTCAAGTTTGCAAATAAGGGGTGAGCACTTGAGATTTTATGCAAATGCATGGGTTCACAAGTTTTATTATTAGCCACTACATAATCTTATGTTGAGTGTTTATTCGTTTTTAACCAAACAGAAAAATTGTTCGCTAAAAAGTGAAAAGTCAAAAGTTTTCCGGCAGGGATTTGAACCTGCGTCGTTGCGACTGAAGTCTCATTACGCAACCGCTACACCACGGCCAGGCATTTTCTCTGACTACTGTGAAAAAATAATAGATAACACCCTAAACAACCGACGCACACTTATGCGCCACGCGAGTATAACTTATAACTTTACAGCCTGACACGTGAGTCGCTCGGTTGTCGACCTGTTTTCCACGTCTAAACGACGTAAGGTGTGCATCTGGACGTAAAGCAATGTCTTCCCAGACGTTGATATGACGTTGAATCTGTACCTCTGTCACTGCCCTGCTTTATTTACTTGGAATCACCCTCTCTAGTAAGTACACAGTCTGCACAGTTTTTAGATATAGATGTATCATTTCCACATTGAAAAGAGTTGGAGACAGAAAGTAAGTTGTTTTCTCACGTATACGTGGATTTTGTTAAGTATATTTTGTATATTATCTGTATTTTGAATTGCCAGTGCATGAATCTATAATAATAACGGCTGGCACTGCTCAGCTGAAAGGGAGAAACCTTTTTTAGTTTTTAAGTTAAAGTTTAAAATATGATATTGTTTTTCATATTTCAAACTATTTTTAACACATTAGAATTCTTAGGTTAGACTGTCCAACAAAGTATATGTTAAAAAAGGTTAAGATTCTTGAGTTTTAAAATAATAATTCAATTCTAAAATGTAAAGTTACTGTATATTTCACAATGGTTTATAAACTGCAAAAAGACAACAGTACTTAGTAAACTAAGTTTAAAAACAGGGAGATCAGCTTTAATATTTGGGACACTCCCATCATTTAGACACCTGTGATGTCATCAGTTGGAGTTGAGTTCAGGTGTGGGACCATAGGAGCACACAGATATTACCTGCTGCAGAAAGAGAGTTTAATGTTCATGTATTGCTTTGTTTAATAAATTGATTTAATGTCTTCCCAGGTCTTCAATGTCAGAGACTTTCACTTCTTCTCACTGTGGCTGTTTAAATGAGCCACTACAGTTGTTATTTTTGTTATTGTTAGCTGCAAATATTAAATATCCATTCATCTGCTGGTAGCAAGCTAACTAGCGCTTGCAACTCTATTCAATTTCTTACTTTTTCTTATAAACTTTAAAACCAGCCATATGTTAATTAAAATACATTTACCTTTGCTAATGCAGTCAATTATTGTGAAATCCATAGAGTATAATTTCATGATTGTTGCAATAACTAATGTTCTGTGTGTATTCCTAATGTGTCATGTGTGTTTGAGTCTTACAGGTGTCAGACTGTGTTGAAGGTGTTCAAAGGTAAGAATCACACTCTCACACATTGATTGTTGTTCTGTATTAATATGTTGTTTTTAGAATAAACCATTATTTGGTGTATTCTCTTTGAAAACATCTATCTTTTTCTCAGATTGTTCAGCAACTCACTCAAGATGAGGGAAAAGAGCAACAAGGGGAAAATGCCCCCTCGGAAATGCAACATGTGTAGAGTAATACAGGGTAAGTAGCTTTCAGGGCTCATTTGTCCATGTGCAAAAGAAATGCACATTTGCAATTGTTTTTTACATGGAATTACTCCAATGACCAAAGCCTTATCCCAAGTTTCTCAGACGGAGTGTCTTCCAGTGTCTCGAGCTAGTGCAGTGCCAAGGTTTGTATCACATGGTGATGGATCGAGTGGTTTGAGGCATTAATAGAAAGTTATGTGTTGTTATATCACTTTGCCACATTATGTTGAAACTAAACATGTTCCACATTTTCAGGTGCTGTGCTTGGACCTTATGAGACTGAAGACCAAGAGAGGACACATGTTGGAACATCAACATTCAATAAATGCATTCTTCTGCCTTTCAGATTGTGTTTTTACATCTGGGGAACCTAGAGTGTAGCTTGTGCCTGTTTTAATACTGATCCAAACATAGGCACTACAATCATGTTTTTTTACTTTGGCATGAACTGTTCAGTACAGTAGTGTTCATAACACTGTGCCCTGTATGGTTTAACTTGTACTTTGATGTAGAGAAACATGATTTTTAATGCAGCTCCATTTGCAATAATGACTGATATCCTTCTACTACAGTTGTTCTAATGATTTTTGAATGCTGTGTTTATCGTTTATTGCCCAGAGTCAGAACTAAACATGATAAAGCTGCATTTCAGATTCACAAGGCTAAAATCTGGAACGGTCTTCCTGGAAATGTGAGACAGGCTTCTTCTTTGACAATGTTAAAATCCAGGTTTAAAACACTTCTGTTTCTGCTTCAACTGAGAGATTTTATGAGAGATTTTATTTGTTTCTTTTTAATTTACAGTCAATATTTATAATTGTAATGCCTTGTTTGATTGTTTCTATCTTTTGTTCAGTGCTTTGAGTTTCCTTTTGTTTTGACTGTGCTATACAAATAAACTTGCCTTGCCTATTGCAAAAAGTATGTCTCGACCAGTGAGTGATTCTGCAGAGGTCAATAGGACTGTAAATGGACGTCATATAAACGTCAATATTTTGGTCATATAAGACGTCGAGAGGACGTCGGACCCGACCGGTTCTGTACCACATTGCAACCTTGAATGAAGTGGCCGCGACGTCATTTGAACGTCCAGATAACGTCCAGATGACGTTGAAATTACGTTGTATTGAGATCTGCTTGCTTAGTGGGAACAACGGAAAACGAACGTCATATGAAGGCAATATTTTGGTCATATAAGACGTTGATAGGACGTCGGACCCGACCGGTTCTGTACCACATTGCAACCTTGAATGAACGTCCAGATGACGTTGAAATGACATAGTTTTGACATCTGCTTGCTTAGTGGGAACGACTAAAAACGAACGTCATATAAACGTCAATATTTTGGTCATATGAGACGTTGATAGGACGTCAGACCCGACCGGTTCCGTACCACATTCAAACCTTGAATTGACGTGCCATCAACGTAACATTTGGAGGTTGAAGTGACGTCGGGAAACGACGTTGAGAAAACTTTCATTCTGCACCCACCAGTGACCTCTATTCTACGTCGGACAACGACGTTCAAATTACGTTGATTCAACGTCGGCTTGCTTAGTGGGTCAGTTCTATATTACACTGGTAAAACATCGGCAGATTGTTTACTGTGCAGCCATCTTGTTGCATTTACTTTGTTTTATCAAACAACATTTTCCTTATCTTTCCACAGATCCTCTGCAAACAAAAAAGGTTCGCAAGGTCCCTCCTGGCCTGCCTTCATCTGTGAGTGGAAGATCTACTCTCACATAAACAGATTTCACCGTGAGCTTGGTTAAGCAGACACACACAAACACTTCCCTTTGACTTGCACACAAAAGGGCTCTTGACACCAGCATCACACTTCTCGGATTAGAAGTCAGTATTTTGTTGTTGACTTGTGTAGGACTCCTGCTCCCTGTAAATCCACTGAACAAAGTAGTCGCGTTTTAGGTTTTTTGTTTACACGCTTGTTTGTAAATGTTTGTCTCTGTAGGTTAAGGCTCGGTGCTGCTCATTGTGTGCACCTCGATGTGATTGATTTTCAGCGCTGCCCTGTCACAGCCTGGTCTCTCCTGGGAGAGAGAGAGGCTGTCAGAGCCCATCCCAAGCTCAGCTCTTTTGATGTTTAATTAGTCATTACGAAGGCGAACACGAGGACAGACAGAGATTAATAGCACAGAATATCTGAAATTTCTATTGGTAATGATCCCAGAGGAGCAGTGAGCATTAGGATGCAGGCAAGAGTGGAGCCCAGCTTGCATTTGCTTAGACAGGGGTGTGCCACACTTTGTTCAAGTCCATTAATATGCATAAATCACTAAGTCAGATGTTCATTGTTCAAATCCTTGTGGATTTGCAAGAGGTCCTCAAGCCGTGACTTAAATTCTTTGAATATTACCTCAAAAGTGTGTTTTGTTCCTAATCATAAGCAACTGCTTTGCTAAAATCAGCCTTTTTCTTCTCTTAAACATTAAAAGGTTTTCCTGGGTGTTGTGAGAAAGTGTGAAGCTGGATTTGCTTTTCTGAGCTTTGATGATTGTCACTGCTGCCGCTATTCCCCTGAAATCAAATATGGAACAGGCTGTGTAACATAAAAGGTTGGCATGTGTTTTGTTTCTGGATTTGTGTTTGAAAGGAAGTTTGTCAGTGCCCGAAACAGAAAAAGCCTTCTCTGGGAAGATGGCATGCTGCCTTTTTCTTAAGTAAGTGATATATTTGAGGTCTTGTCAGACAAGCGAGGGGGGCACAAGAATGACTGCCTCGCAGGTTACATCTCTTTGTTGTGTAAATGGACGCTGGGCTTTTATTCGTCAGTACTTAACACATGGGCGCAGGTGCAGCTCTGTGACTCCTAAGAGCACAATCAGACGCTACTATGTGAGATGGGTAAAACAGTGACAGGGATGAAATACAGATTCTTCTTGTCACTCAGTGCTGCTCACAAGATAAAGCTTTGAGCTCGGAGGAATTATCCCATTTGAACATATAGAAATGGCAACATAGAAACAGAAGACTCTGCTGAAAGAGAGAAACACAGGATTGAGTGGGAATGGGAGGTTGACTGATGATGACTTACGCATATTGTTATAAGTCTAAAGGTGAAGCGTTCACATGAACTGAAAAATACTGGATGCCCTTAAATTGTTAAAAGTGTGATTGCAGCACATCAGAGTGTGATTATCACTAAAGCTGATGTTTATTTTGCTGGCTCTAACATTGGTGCGGCGGTGATGGGAAGTGCTGAGGGGTCCATGCACCTGGCCTCAGAGTTGTGCTGGAGGCAGCTGTACCACAGGCCTGGAGCGTACCTGTAAAGCATGAATGCAGCTGCAGATGGCTGAAAGCTTTTGCTTGTGTAAGCAAGCGCTGGAGCCTCACCACCAGAGACTCCAATAGACGCTTCACTTAAAAATATCCTCACAGTGGTTCCTATCATTATGTATACTGCTGGGAATTTTGTTGTTTATTTTTTTATTTTTAAATCCTCTTTTTGCTCTAAGTTTCTATTCTGGCTCAACAGTCTAAAAATAAATGTACGAGTTTTAAATCAGACGGGCTAATGTAAAGTTGCAAGTCCAGGCATGATGTGTGTATACTACATGATGGAGCTGAATCAAAATATTTACTGGAGCACATCCTCTGTGCATTGAGGTTTTGACAGTGCTGTGCGCTGGATGTGAAGGCTATCTAGACAGGCCAGCTGGTGATTGCAAACATTTAAATGTTTATAAGGCTTTTACATCTTATACAGACACCTCATCACTGTGCCATACTTTTGTGTACTCTGCTAGAGTTTGACGTCACATACTAACTGCTGAATTTCTGTGACGACTGTTAATCTTGTCATTTGGAATAGCCTATTTCGATAATGATCTCAAAGATACTGCCTTGGCTCAGTGAGGTTGGGCTGAGTCTACAGCTGCCTGGTCAGGTGCCACTAGTGTGGGCCCCCCTATGGCTCAGGGGGAGATGCTGGATATTTATGGGAAGCTGAAAGTGTGTGTGTGTGTGTGTGTGTGTGTGTTTGTTGTCTAAACAGTGTTTTTTTATCCGTAAACCCTTGTCAAGGCTGCGTGTGTTGATGCACCTCAACACACCTCCCTGACTTTAGGCTGTGGATGACAATAAAGAATGTACAGAGATTCAGCTTAGCCTCAGGGAGTTTTGTGAGCGAGACCCCTCAGAGTGGATGACAAAAAAGATTGACATTTACGTTTGACAGATATCTCAAGCACTCATGTTTCAATGAGATTCGAACTGTGTGAGTTGTAAGAAACAGGTTCCTGTCAGCGCTGAATTATAAGACTCAAAAGTATTCCTTGCAGTGTGTGTCTGTTGCATGACATTCAAAAGATAAATAATCTTTCTGTCTTCCTGTCTTCGACGAGCCACAAAGACCACACATTGTTATACTGTATGAAAGCTCACAAACTGTTACTGAATCAGGTGCAGTGGTGTATGGTTTAATTCCCTACATCTTCAAAGTCTTATTTAGGACATTTTGCAACGGCAGAAAATGTGGAACAGGGCTGCAAACATTTCAAATAGAACTGTTTATGTATACATGCGCATTTCAATGTATATACCATATGCTTCTTTGTAGAAATATGGATGTTCACTGAAATACAAAAATAGAATAGGTTAGGTGCATTATTTGATTGAATAATCCATTAAATCTCACAAATATTCCTGCAATGGTCTTTGCAAAAAAGTGTTAATGGCCATCTGAATCCTGTGATACTCTGAAATTTGTAAGAATGTCTAAATATATGAGTCAAGCGTCTTGTGTGTGGGAGAGAAGTTCTAAACTGAAGAGAATGTGCGACATGCTGTTGCATCGTACAGCACAAGATTCCCATAAGCAGATGACGCTATATAATTCTCATTAGCCATACATAACTGTTTTGTCACGTGTTTGTTTCTAAAGTATATGTATCTGAAGTTTTGCCTGTTTTTAAAGGGTTTTAGTTGCATCACAGGTAGATATTTAGTATTTACCTGCTTTAACTTCTTCCTGTCCTGTCCATGGCATGGAGAGCTTAAACAATGAACTAATGTTGCTCACTCTCTCCGTCAGGTGAAGTAGCACTGCTTTAGGTGCAACCGACATCTAAGTAGAGCTGTAACAAGTTAATAAATTAGTGATTGATTAATACATTTTTTAACCTTCCAACGGATTAAACGTTAAATAGTTATAGTTATATAATATAGTAACAAGTCATCTCTATGAAAATGTTCTCCACGTGCATCTTGAGCTTTCTTTTGTTCAAATCTCATGTTCACTGACCTATCAGGATCTAAATGACAAATCTATTAATCGAAAGAATAATCGGCCAACTAATCGATTATCAAAATCGTTAATTACAGCCCTACCTTTACTGACTGAAGAAAACATATTTTCAGATTATATCTTTGCTTTATGATTGTAATTTTACAATTATCAATTAGCATGTTGAACGAAATGCTTCATTCATAATTAATATTGTTAAAGTAAGTTTGTAAATATTTTCAATCAATACATCAATCAACGTTTATTTGTAGAGCGCCTTTCCTACACAAGGCAACGCAAAGCGCTTCACATCCCCTATCACATCATGCATAAATCAAACACATTAAGAGCACAAGATATATTAAAAACATTAAAAATAAAATCACAAAAATTAAAAACCTTTAAACATTAAAATCACAGATGGGACTAAAATCATAAATAGTCACAGTGCATTAAAAAGATTAAAGATAAAAACAAAGATGAAAAGATAAAATCATTCAGTTGTATATGCGCAGCTAAACAGAATTGTTTTGAGCCTAGATTTTGTTTTTGTTTTTACCTTCCTCTCCTTCTCTTCATTAAAGTAAACCTATTTATAAAGGCAATATGTAATAACCTTTAAAAATGTCCTAAACGCTTACTAGCCTTAGCCCCACCCCCTATTGATTTTCTACCATTTAAATTCTGTCTTTAAAACGGTGGTGCCCTGACCTTAAAAAAAAAATTAAAACAGAGATTCTCTTTTCAGATACGGCCGATTATATCTGTAGAGATAGACACTCTTGTTTTAAGGATGATTCTAAGCAGTCACCGTCACCCCCGGGACCTTAGCCTTCATGTTTATCTGTGTTGCGTTGTTGAAATTTACTGCCGTTACACACGACTGGAGATAAAACACCAGGCGAACTGCACCGGAGGCCGCTCTCATCTGTGAGGAACCAAAGAGTAAAGGACAGAAAATAATGCACAGATTAAAGTCATTACTCACATTCAAGGCTGTTTTAAATTATTCATGTTGGGCTTGCGTGAGTTTACCAAGTTTAATGTTAACCGTGATTTGAGAGCGCTGCAGCCTCCAGTGACCTGTCAGCAATAAAAGGCTTCGTACACATGTTATGTTACTGTCCATCTATCTATATCTATGAGTTTCTCTCAATGTGTCGAGTATTATTTCTGAATACAAAAAAAAACCACATATATTAAAACATTTATTTCAGCAAATAGTTCAACTGAATTTTTGGTCTAAATACAATGTAGTATCCCACCCTTACTTTTAAATTAAATTATGCTTATTATGTATCCTTAAAGACCTATTGTCTTCCTCTTATTAGAAGCAGAGCTTCTTACAGAAAACAATCTTCCTGTCTGATGACATCATCGCTAAATCCGTGCATGAGATGGGGGTGACCTCAGCTCATGGATTTGCTCTGTGTTTTTCAACCCAAACAAATCCACAGAAAAGCACCTTGTTAGA